AAGTGATATTTTGAAATACTTCTTTTAGTTCCTAATCCATGAAATTTTACTAAATTTAGTAAAGAATTAATATATGATGATTGATTTCTACAAACACCTCTGATAATTTTAACTATATATCCTTATTAATTATATTGAGAAGAGAAAACTATAAATCAGAAATGGTAGTTAGCTTTCATCAAGAGCCTTTTTTCAAAAAAAAAATTTAACAGTAATTTTTGACAAAATAAAAGATTTTAAATAATTTTAATTTTATAACTTGTTTGCCATCAATTTTAATTATAAACCATAACCAGCATGATTCGATTAAAATAATCAAGAACACTCACATAGATATCTAAAGTCCAACCGCAAGGGGATGGATTAAGAAGTTTGAGAGCCTCTTGTTCATAACTAATGGCTAAGTTGATTAATAGTCATCGTGTCACTATCCCCTGATATATCCGAGAAATTTACCAAGAGTTAGTATGGTAAGGAAAGCAGGCTATGTTATGACCATTTTACCCTTTGTCCTTAAATTATTGCCACCGAGATTACTATATTGGTAAAATCTGTCATAGTTTACAAGGGTGTTTGGGTAAGAACAAAAATCATAGTTTTAGAAGTGCTTTTATGGTATACGAAGTAAATATGTGGAAGAGTTTGTTTCAATTTGTAAAAAAATGATTCTAAGAAATACTTTTAGGGTTAACCAAACACCCCCACATCACTTTGGAGTTTCGACTAACAAAAATGATGATCTTGTGAAATGCACCTCTTTACCTGTCCACATATTTAGTTTGGAGAATTATTATGAGTTAGCGATTAAGAAATTTAATTATTAAGAAATCTCAAACAAGTATTACCTCCAATCTTTAATTGAAGAGCTAGTTAACTAATTTAAGTAGATTAAAAAAATTAGTTAAATTAGTTCTTTGTAATAAATAGTGTGTTCTTTCCTAAAATATTCTTACTAATCATGTACATTAATAAGAACTACTATTTGATATATCTTTTAAAATATACACTACTACAAGGACTATTTGAAAATATATATATGAAAAACAAAATGAATTTAGATCATATATTTAGAACCAAATTAAAAGTCAAACAGACTTTTATACTAAAGACATGAGGTAGTAGCTAGCATAAACCTATTATCATTTTCTACTTTAAAACTTATAATTGCATGTTTTTCAGTTGTCAATAAAGTTTAAAATAATTAAATTCCTGTCTCAAAATCTGATTTTAGTTCTACCTATCTAGGTCCCCACCCCTTCCAATGCCAATATGCAATAAAATAGTATTAGTAATGCTGCATTTTGCTTCTCCAAGAGAAGAGAATCTGCTTGGAATTGAATAAAAGAAAATTTTTATGCTGAAAACGGGGGACATGGTCGTTCTAGAGTCTAGACTTGCGCCTGAAACTGCTGCGAATTTTTTTTTCTTTCTTTTTTCATTTTTTTCCTTGTTTTTCTCAATGTTATTCTTAATTTTTTTGCAGATAATATTTATTTGACCGGGAAATTTTTGTTTTATACTCCTACTTTCTAAGATATGAGATCTCGAACTTCCAATTATTCCCGTGATCATATCTCCTCGTGAACATCACAAATCAACCGATGCCGTTTGCCCTTCTTCTTCACTGAAAGAGCAATTCAAATCTGGGAGTCTTCAATTTCTGCTGATATGGTTTTGAAAATCATCTGTGTATTAAATGCTCTCCACCAAAGTCAAAATTGAAGGGAAAAAAACCAACAAATCTTAAGTGTCTGATAGTTGGATACCTATCTATTACTGTCTCACACACACGACTATTTGTGAAACGTGAATCTTCTACAACCATCATATGTATCACTCTTTTCTGAAAACATGAACACATGAATAAAAAGGATGAAATCACTTCTGAATAAAATGTGCTACAACAAGATCATTGTGACTGTGATTGAAACTAAACAATAAGTTGAGCATGATGTTATTCAATTTTTTCGTACAAAGGGCTAAAGCCTGAAATAAAGAGAATGATTCCCAGACAATCATAGGTAACCAAGGCCCGAAAATGGCATGGACGGGAGGCTTGGGAACCCTCATAAGCACTTTGAAAAAAACTTTCACAAGAGTCGAGACAACATTTTTGTTATGTATTTACCTCAAATACTGTAATATCACTTTTAAAAAGTTAATCCAAGTATTCCTAGACACACAGTAAAATGAGGTCCTACGTAAACCTTGCTTTGCAAGGGCATCTGCGATGTAATTCTGCTCTGGGAATTTTTATATTGAAACCGAATATCCCAATCATACTCCATCATGCTCTGTATCTGCAAAAGAACTGGCTGTTTGAACCATTGTTGCATCTATCAAGGATCTTTTCTATGACAACCTTAAAGGCAGATTCAACAATTATTTTCCTGAACCCCATCTCCCAAACAAAATTAAGACCTCTCAAAACGGTCCATTCTTCAGCTTCTGACACACTACAGTTTCCAACAGCATGAGAGAAACCAGCAATCCAACAACCGCTGTGATCCCTTACATAGGATCCTCCGCAACTCGCTTTCTTTCTAGAGGAGGACATTGCGCCATCTACATTCACCTTCCCACAGTCTAGAGGAGGAGGCTGCCAAGTATTACGAGTGATAGGAGTAGGAAGTGATTCAACATTCAAACACCAAGTGTAATATGATTGTGAGTTGGTATTAGGATTTGTTGGGCTGGACCCATCTTTGATATTGACACAAATGTAAGAGCATCAAACCAAAAACTCACATCCATCTCCTGCGTGGGTTGGGTCCCATAATAAAGAGTTGCGTGAGAGCAAGGATGACAAGTGATGACTTAAACTAGGGATAAAACTGTCCTGTTAAATCCTGATAAACCTGACCTTTGCATTAAATCACAACTGCTTGATAGGTTTAACTCAGCGTTTGGACTTTGGAGTATGGTGAGTAAAACTTTCAATGAAAGACTTCGGGATGAAATAATTATTAATAGATCAAGGGAAGAAAACTATACAAACACTAACTTGTATCACCTTAATACTCTTGATTGATATGCCCTAAAGCAAAAGAGAACTATGTCAGCCTTAATACTCTTGATTGATATGCCCTAAAGCAAAAGAGAACTATGTCAGAAAACAAAACTCAGTAATATGACATATATCAACACCATAATACTGTTGATTGACTTACAGTAAAGAGCCCCTTTTTAGATTGTGATTCCAACAAAAATGACACTTGTAGTTGTACACCACATTGTTTTAAGCGACATTAACAGACTTCTCACGCCTATGCTTAGTCTTTATTCTCTTCTTCAGTGCAGATGTGGAACAATTTCACATTTCTAAAGCAAACAAATGATGACCATATATGATTGCAACATATACTCCATAGTGCCTACCGGAAAGCTTGCAATTGGCGTGAGAGAACCTAATATAACTTAGGCCGTAAATCAAACTACATATTACTTATTGGTACCCTAAATAATAACCTAATGTTACTTTTAGCATGCAAGTTTTGAATTCATCACAAGTTCCTCAGTTTAATCGGTATCAAATCATATCTAACAAAAAATTAACCAAACCTTCCACGAGTCGTATGCGGATGCCCAGCATAACAATGTTGATAAATACAATATGCAAAGAGAGCAAATCATGACCGAATTCAAAATAAACAGCTTGTCACGAGGGGACGGGAGGAATCCTAGTCAAGCTCTCACACAGAAATGCGCTGTCACCTTGAAACTTTTGACATACAGCATGTAATATATGGATCATAATGCTGTCATGTTACAGTTTCCCTTGATGTTTATGAGGTAAATAAAAGCGCAGAAACACAATTGATAAATAAAAGCGCAGAAACACAATTGATGTTTATGAGGTAAATAAAAGCGCAGAAACACAATGATTGAGGAAAGACATGACAGAAACAATTATGCAAGTCAAAAGAAGGGGAGGAGCATACCTTTCACAAGTGGTACAGCCCACCCACACCCAGAACCCTACTCAGCACCCAAAGACCGCATTGCAACCTCACCACTGGTCCGCACTGCAAGGCTTCGATGCAGAATGTTAATTTTAGTGCTCCTTTTGCTCCTCCGTTCTTACCCATGCTTATCTTAAGCTCTCTCTTTGTTCTCATTAGAAATTAGGAATTTTGTCGAGCACCCACTATGCAATCAGGAAACCAGTGTTGGTAAATAAAAACCAAGCAGAACAACAAACAACATTTTCGACTCAGAATTAGAATGGAAGATGGTAATCGTGCAGTTGTATGGGAACCGATTCGATTGTGCTGAACAAAATAAGTAAAAGCGAAGTGCCAAATCAGATTCCAATGGTACGTCTTGTGGGCGACAAGATTGGAACTGAAGGACAAGCCGATGCGAATATAAAACATTTATAGCAATAGGACATGCAAATAAAATACACCTTACCACTCAGCAAAATTAAGCTTAATTTAAAGAAAGCGTGGACAGATAGGTTATGATACTCATACCCTGCGTCTGCGCAGAGCTTTTAAGAATCGCCACAAGTCGGACAGAGAGCACCGGTTCAGCTGACTCGTTTATACTAAATTGATGTTCATGAGATGTAAGAACAATTATCCGACTATCAATCTCAGAAAATGTGACGTCAAGTTGTCAACGAACTTTATACATAAAAAAGCGGTTACGAGTGGGCGAAAAGCAAGCGTTTGACAAATAAATTAAATAAGACCCAATTTGACTTTTTATTTGGTCCTAATTACAAAACCCAATCCATTTAAATAATCCTTCTAATAATAATAGTTTTAGTCAATATACTTAATTAGCAAGGATATTTTAGAAATGACAATACTTATTTATTATAAATAACTAACTTAACTTACTTCTTTCTTTCATGGGTTTTATAATTAGGACCGGAAGAGTATAATATTATATACGATTAGTAAGATGATCCGCTCAGGTATGAACAACAGAAGATCTTGTTTAGTATGATTATTAATAAAATCTTATCCAAAATCGAAGACGTAATTGGATGATGCAATCACGCCATTACAGATTCCATCATTTGAAGAATAAAGGATGGACAAAATAGAAATTCTTCAACTATAGTTGATTGATTACAAAGTACGAAGCCTGAATGACACGAAACAGAACCATAACAGAAACCATCACACTTTCATCGCCAAAGTACAGTAAATCCCAGACCCAGAAAGGCCTATCTAACACCATAAAAACTCATTATTCTAAATCTACCCTACACCGATCAATCTACTTAATCCCTCCAGTTTCCATAGGACTCACCACCCCCACGAGAGTAGCGAGAGCCACGATCACCATAACCGCCGCCGCCGCCGTATCCTCCACCACTCTTGTAGTATCCACCCTCGCGGCGTCCGCCGCCTCCGTACCCGCCGCCTCCGTATCCGCCTCCACCGCGGCTATACCCACTCCCACCGCCGTATCCGCCGCCGCCGCCGCCGCCGCCTCTTCCACGAGACTGAGCTTCGTTCACCGTAATGTTCCGACCATCAAGGCTCTGACCGTTCATGCCTTCGATCGCATCCCTCATGGACTGCTCTGAGGAGAACGTCACGAATCCGAACCCTCTGGACCTTCCGGTCTCGCGATCGTTGATAATCTGCACAACAAAACCATCGATCAGATCTAGTATGCGAAGTCGTAAAGAAAGTAGAATAACCGATCGTTCTTCGCCTTTGGGAGAAAGGAAGAAGATGAACGTACCGATTGGCGTGAGTAATAAAAGAATCATAGACAGTAACACAAGTATCATAGATCAAGTAACACAAACAGATCAGAGAGAGCACGGGATCAGATATGGATCAAGAAAACCCGAATCCTAATCGTATCAGATCGGATCCCGATGTTGCATCAAACGGACCTTCGATTCAATAACATCGCCGAAAGGAGCAAAGGCCTGGCCAAGGGCATCGTTGTCGGTAGCCCATGCGAGCCCACCGACAAAGCAACGATACTCAACATCTGCAGAAGCCATCGATGCAAAAGAGAGATATAAAGGCAAAAGGAAACAAAGGATAAATGAGAATTGGGAGGAGGCTGTGTGAAGATAATGTGACCTAAGGGGTGATTATATAGCGGGTGAATGTTAACTATGGTTAAAGCTGACCCAGTCAGAATGGCCCAGCGCATACTGCACATGTAACCGTGGTTTACCGTGGTTAACGGTTACCGCCAGCTGTGGATCATCCCACGCCGTCCGAACGCAAGCTGCATCTCCCTGTTGGGTAATTCCAAAAAAGAAAAGAAGGAAGAAAAAAAAAAAAAAAAAATAAAAAAAATAAACTTAAATTAAGTTTGTTGGCTATTCCTTTATTTAATTAATTAATAATATTCAGTACATTTCTTATCAATTTTTCTTCATTTGTCATGTTTTCTTTTATTTATTTTATTTTACTTGTACAGGCCCATTTGATGATTTTTTATTTTATAAGTACTTGTATTTCTTTATTAAATAAGGCACTATTAAACACTAAATATGAAAACTTCTCTCAATAAAAATTCGGACATTGATTCATTAGGTTGTGAGAGATTAACCTTTTATGCTAGATCTAATCTCCATTGACATTTTGATAGGTAATTGATTGATGATTGTGCAGATGGGGTGTTCACTATTAAAGATTAATGGATGTCTTGATCTGCTTGTGTAGTAGATTCAAAACTCGTTAGCCGTGCTGTGGACCCAAAAAAAACAATGGGCTTGAAGCCTGAAAGTCAAGCCCAAATTTTGTGTGGGCCGTTTTGGGCTTTGGAATCCGAGGGTTGTGTTCTAGTTTGCTGATCGTAGAGCTGGGGGAGGAACAGATAGAATATCCAGTTGGGTTTGATTAAGACAGAAATTACGGGATTTTTTAGATCATGATGACGGTGGACTGATACTTTTAAATTATTTTAATAATTAAAAAAATTAAAATATCTAACAGAATATTTTGAACGCTATTAAAAATCAAATGAAAGTGGAGATTTTTAGAATAAAGATATTTCATCTTTGTGATTGCAAAAAACAAATTGACGGAATGTCATGCAAATTATTGTATTTTTATTCTCAATAAAGCCTTCTCATTTTTTGGATTATGTAGGCATTCTATTCCGGGCATAGCATCCTGTTACTCGTGCTTATTCTTCTTCTCTTTTTTTTTTTTGGGTGGTCCAATTCAGATTTTTATTCTTCAAGAAAGGCTGCTCATTTTTCATGACCTGCTTTCTTTATTGAATAGATCTGTTCCTTACTTTTTTTATAATGAGGTTGTGGACCTGCACTCTGTTCTGTGTCCAGGCCTCTTTGCCTACACTAATATGTGTCATCTACGGATTGGTCTAACTGAAGGAATTACTTTCTCACGGTATAACAAATTAAGATTTGAATCTCTGTCAATAGATTTGTCTATATTTCATATCTGGCAATGTTTCGAATATAATTGCTTCCAATAAAAAAATATCTATGTGGAGCAAAAAGAAAAATACTAACATCTGCCCCACCAAAAAAAATGTCTAATGTAGTAGCTCTTTTTTTTTCGGTTAAGGTTATCCTTATAAAGTACTCCTCCGGTCCTTAATATAAGGCCCATTTAACTAATTTGATTATATTAAGGAAGTTAGGTAAGTTAGTTAATTATAAGAAAAGTGACACATTTTTCTTAAAATACCACAATCATCTTTCTTAATACCCCCTTTCCTTCTTCTACTTGATTATGGTTGAGGGAGTATCCATAGGGGTAATTTAGAGAAAATTAATAAATATGAAAAATGGGTCCTATATTTAGGACCAAAACCAACTTAAGAATTGGGTCCTATATTAAGGACTGAAGGAGTATTAAATTTCTTATTGACCAGGCCCAAAAAAAAATCTCATTGACCAAATTAAAAAATGTCAATCACATAGGTTTTTTTTTTTTAAATGATGTATCTTTTAATCTTAGATTATCGTTTACCCCAGAAACCATTAAAAAAAAATGTTATATTATCCAAACTTCATTAAGAAATCATAACTTGATACTTTTTTCCGCCTAAAAACGTGATTCTTAAGCGAGGTTAGTACTTTTTCACGCTTTTTTGACAAATTCTTTAAAGATGAAAGTTAAATAAAGAGATATTTATTGACTCAAGAAAACTATACTAGAAGTGTTCCAGATGAAGTCATTGATAGCGGTGGCCTACCTTTTAAGGTGAAATATATGAATTTTCCCATTTAACTAAATATTTATTTTTAATTGTAAAAAAAAAGGGTCAAATATGTAGAGATTTTCAGAGGAGATTACGTTTACCGGGCAAACTATTTGACTCTAATTTCATTCTTATGCGTGAAAGCCACTTTATTGGATCCACCCTTCAATTTTTACTGTTTACTTCCGTCTCCTTTCACTCCCTAATTCCTTTCTTTTTCAATAACAGATCCAGGTAGGGAAATACAAAATAATTTTGTGTTCAGTTGAAGACAAAACAGCATTCCATCTTATTCATCACCTATTTGCCACTTCATATGCTACTTTTTGTGATTAATATAAAATTTAATTAACTAATTTAAATTGATTAAAAAAATTTGTTAAGTTAGTTATTTATAATAAATAAGTATTATTTTTTCTAAAATATCCTTACCAATTACATGTATTAGTTAGAACTATTATTTGATTGAATTTTTAACATATGTAACTATTATAATAATTATTTTAGAAAAAATTATATAAATATAAAAGACAAAATATATTGTGATCTTATATTTAAAACGAAAATATCAAATCAGTTTTTATATTAGGTACATAAGGTAATACTCCTCCGGTCCTTATTATAAGACCCAATTTGACTTTTTATTTGGTCCTAATTATAAGACCCAATCCATTTTGTCTCTTATATTTATGCATTTTTTTCCAAGATAATCCTTCTAATAATGATAGTTTTAGCCAATATACTTAATTAGTAAGGATATTTTAGGAATGACAACACTTATTTATTATAAATAACCAACTTAACTTACTTCCTTAATCTCCTCAGATAAGTCAATTGGGTCTTATAATTAGGACCGGAGGAGTATTATATTTGATATTTTACAGTATATTTGGTGATTGCTGCGCTCAGAATTCACCTTAACATTTTTTAGGGTGCAATTCTCAACATTCGTTTTAATTTCTCACTTTAAAATTTTCTGGTGGTTTATATGGGAATTAAAGGGTTCAGACAAATTAAAAAGAATAAAATATATAGGATCACGTTGATCATATCAACCGTATATGTGCGTGCATAACATTTAGAGACATTTTTTAATGGATTAATGTGATGATGCCATTGCCATTTACTATAAAATATTATAATAATAATAATAATAATAATCTTGCTTTATGTAATAGTAGTATTCCATAGTTGACCGCCATAGGTTGGTCGTTTTTCAGACACTTCTTTTTCAACCACCTAGATACTTTTATCATTATTTTGAACCCAAAAAAAAAAAACAGAAGAAAAAAGAGATGCCCGCACTTACCCCAATGGGTAAATGCCACTTTATGATTGATAAAATGATTAGGAAGAACTACCAAAGAATCATTTTGGAAACATGAACTTGATTTCACCTCACTTCGTTTTCATTTACCCGAATAGCTTTATTGTTAATCCATGACGTAAAAAGTTATAAATCTCCCAATAAAAATATAGTTAAAAACATAAATTTGTTATAAAATTTAAATAATTTTTAAGCATAACTTTTATCAATCACAATGAATTTTAAGATCATGTTAATTTATACTCTCTCCCATTTTTATTAAATATAGGTATGTATCACAAAATATTTAATGCTTATTGAAACTGTCAAAATTTCTTATAAAATGCATCAAAATATGTTTTGGAAGGCTTGTTATAATATGGATCAAGAGTACTGTTAAAACTTTTGAAATTAACTAGTGGGGCTTTATAACTCAAGTAACACGAAACATCTTTCTTAAATTTTTTTTTTTAAACGTGAAGGTATGAGTTTGAATTTTTCTTATTAAAGCGTAGTATAATGGTACGAGTTATAATGAGAACAATCTCAAATCAATTAATTAAAGACTAAAATAAAATCTGATGTGATGAAATTCGTAGTGACCAAGGAAAATTAAGCAAGATAAGAACTCAACTTTCTTTCCTTCTTTTTTTTAATTGAGAGCAGAAGAAGTTATTAGAGAGTTTAGGGCAAAGATATGGTTTTGTGATGATTGCTTTTACTTTCACCGGTAATGACTATTCTTTGGGAGCTTCGCCACTTGGTGACATGTTAGTCAGTTGATCAAGTCTTTGTTTTTCTTTTTGGGAGAATTATAACCAACTTCTAAAAAAAATAATTATTAAAAAATCTCAATAACAATTTAAATAGCATGTAATGACAAGTTTTATAATAGAAAGTGATAATTTTCAAGACTTATTTTGTAATTATTTTTTCTTTTCAAGACCTTATTATAATTCTCTCTTTTCCGTTTTATTCTTCATAACTTGTGGAATGGTAAAGTAATTATTTTTTATATTTATCCGCACAATGTTTTAGGAGTGGAACGGATTAAAATTATCACAATCTAAAAACGAAGGTGCTTTATTTAAATTACACTCCATTCAATCTTAATAACCATGCGTGCGTAAGGGAGAGAGCGTGCAAAATAAAGGAGACAATGATACTCCTCTGGTCCTTAATATAAGACGTAATTATTCAGTTAGTTTTAGTTCTAAATATAAGACTTATTTATCATATTTATTAATTTTTTCTAAATTGTTTCTATTAATATTCCCTTGACTATAATCAAGCAGAACATGGAGAAAGGATATTAAGAAAGATGACTATAATATTTTAGTAAAAAAAAACATGTCATATTTCTTATAATCAATACTATCGGCAAATGCACTACGATGATTATATCTACTCACAAGTGCATCCTCAACCATCAAATCCTACATGCAAACTGTCATATTATATGAACAAGAAATCAACAAATTCCACATATAAGGCGAGAACTTTATTCATCTTACCACATAGCCATGCCCATTTAGCATTGTAATTGGAGCTTGTTTGTTCTTCACATCCCACACCTTA